CGTAAATATCAATTTGACAACTTTGTAGAGTGGAAACAGACTGTTGAATTAGTCATCCTAGACTTTGGTAGAACATGTTTAAAATAGTACAGTGTGAATTTCTTTCTGGCTGGTATAAATTTATTAAGTAATATTTTTTCGTACTAAAAAGACTCAAATATCTTTTTTAATTAAATCTAACAGCCAATGGGAGCACATATGCTACAACCTCTGCTAACTTTGGGCTAAATGTTCTTTTTTTTTTTTTTTTTTTTCAGGTGCAGAGCCAGATTTTTTTTCTCAGAAAGCAAAGCCACTGGAACTGCATGTATTACAAAAACATACCGGTACTATTCACTGCGTGTCTGACAATTGTATAAAGTTTCGCAGGTGTACATCACTTTGTTTTTCAGATCGGATTCAAAATGGCTGACTAGTGGCCATTTTGTTTTATAAATGCGGTTCTGGAGCCGTATCTCTGATATGCTTTGACTGATGTTCAAATTTTATATATTCATTATACATCATGTTATAGATATACAGATATATTGGTTTGGCGATTTTATTCAAAGTGGCCGACCAGTGGTCATTTTGTTTTAATTAATGATGTTCCAGAGCTTGGATTCTGATGAGCTGCACTTGAAATACAGATTCATTTGAGGTTTCCCATTCAACTTCTTGCTTTGAACAAATTTGCCACCATAACATCTCAATCTATCAAGGATATTTATTTTAGCCCCTAAAAAAGTTTTGGTTGTCCTAGAGAAAATTTGAAAATGTTTTTTATTTAATACCACCATAACAACAAAAATAATGGTCAATATGGAATAATCATTAAATAATGCTTTCAAATTGCATGCATTAAATGTTTATTTGGATCAACAAAACATCGTCTGAAACGGGAAAACATTTTTCATTTTTACTGAATGTTGCGTGACAAGCAGTTATAAACAATGACAAGGAGCAGAACCTGTCTTTTTTTTTTGCCCTAATGTTTGATGAGTGTAATAATGGGCATAGCAACCACCATTTGCCTATTCCTTGAAATATACATACTGCTAATAATTGTAACAATGCTAGGATAACTGAATGCTGCAGAGATTTACAAAAAAAACACATTTGCTTCAATTATTAAATAGTTGCAAACGATTTAGTTGAATTTGTTTTTCCGATAGGTTTTTGTTGCTAAACTGATCTTCTGTATAAAAATAAAATATTCTGTTTAGTAGCCAGAACTCTATATAATGCGAGTATTTGACAACTCGTGTTTGGACACCAAAATAAAACTCTGTCAAAAAGGAGGATTTACCTTTGACCCCCAACTCCTAAGCTGCATTTTGCAGGTTAAATTTGGATGAGAATAATTAAATTTTGGAGATTTGTAGGCCAATAAAATGATACAGGTTGGTAGGTCAATCGTGATTGTCATATGAACCGCATCACATCTATTTATAGAGCTTGCATGCACAAGTTTGATATTGCCCCTGTGAATATTTGATAAATTACTTGTCAATATTATGGCTTTTGTGTAACAACAAATAATTGGATCGTCGCGTTTCAAATAAGTCTGTTATGACACTTATGACAATACTTGCACCCTTGCAATGTATTTAAATAAGATTGTTGATTTGGGGAGGGATATTATGTATTTATCCACTGCATGGGTTTAACACGTAGCCAACACTGTAACTAAACCAGTTTAATTATTTTTAGATGACGTATCCTTGTGGGTCAATTCGATATACTACCATTCTATTCCGGAGCCAGATGTAATGAAATCTGACACTATTGTGAGTGGAGGTTCAAAGTTCATCATTGTTTGCACGAAGAAAGATTTGGTAGATGATAAACAGGTAATCAAATATACTAGTCTGATAAGTACATACTCATAGAAACTTGGCTAGGTATAGGGCAAACAGATCTGCTTATATATAACATTCCTGTTCTATTATTATTTTGTTATCTATTCCATTCAGTTGGGACTTGATATATATCTGCTATTTTGATATATATAGTAAATATACCATAGACATAGTTACTAACATTTAGTTAGAATCCTACTCAATAAATACATCGTTGTTGATACATATCGTAGCTCATATTTTCAATTTTGAGTATAAATATCTAAAACTGATTTTTTTTCTAGAGATTATGGTTAAATTAATTCATATATTGCCATTATTGTGGAGGGGAATCAAACTACACATTTGTTTTTGCTATGAAGTCGAAAAGTCTAGTGTTATACATTTTTAACAGCATTTTTTTCCATTTGTACCTTCATGAATATAACTGTATATGTATATTTGATTTCAGGTGGTGAAACAGAGAATGTATGAAATAAAAAATCACATACGCAAACACACGCCTAAACCATATCGTGAGATGTATGCAGGTATATTTGCTATCACCAACAAAGGTGGGATGGAGGGAGTAGAGGCGGATGAAGAGATCCCTAAACTTAAAAATAAGATCGAAGAGCTCTCCACAGTGTTTAAAGATAAACAACCATGCGCACAAGTACGACTTGAGTTGGCATTACGGCAGATGAAAAAGCGAACACTACCCATCTCTGAGGTTTACAGTAAAGGTAAAGAGTTGGGTCTAGATAAGGAGAAAGTCGACAAAGCCTTGAGGTACTACCACGGCATTCGTGAGATGATACACTTTCATGAAGACGCTATTCTGAAAAATGTTGTCATTATCGATCCACCTTGGTTAATTGACCTGTTGAGAATTGTCGTTACCCAAATGCCCAAATACCGTAAAAGAATTGATCTGTCAGCAGAGTTGGAAGAGCATTGCAGCAAACTATTTGAACATGGTTTGTTGCATGAAGAAATGGTAGATATTATACTTGTTCAAGAAAACAGGATGAAAGATAAAGATGTCCTACTTCGGATGTATGAAAAATTCAACATCATATGCAGACGTCGCACAACAGATTCCGGCAAGGCAGTCTACTATATGCCATGTATGCTGAATGAGGGAACCTTAGAACCGATCAAATCCAAGCATGAAAGCGCGATCCCACTTTATTATCATTTTGGTGACAATTTTCTGCCTGACTCGGTTTTTCATCAACTAGTGGTGAAGTGCCTAAATTCATGGAAGGATGCCTTATTGGTTCGAAATGCAGCAAGAATTAACATTCCCGAGTTTGAGATGATCTTAGATCTGTGGAAAGAAGGATGTGATATTGGTATGAAAGTTTGTCAAACTGGAGAGCATCATCACTCGCTATTGCCGGTAAAGGAGACCATAGGAAATCACCTTCGACAGATCATCAAAAGCCAGTACTCAGATTATCATACAAAGAATGCATCAAATGTACCAGTGGGCAACATGATGGAACGAAACTATGGCATGGTCTCTGGATTTGGATGATGGTTGTGTTGCCACTACTGAGACGGTCTGTCCAAAGATGCATCCAATAGACGTACCTACTCAATGGATCTCCAGTGGTAAGTTCAGCACAGGTTCAAGGATAATATTCTCCTTTAGCACTTTTAGATTACCAGGACTACAAACACGATTTTTTTATTAATATGATGAATTTTACTGCACACAACTTTCGACTCAACTTTAAAAAAATTAGTGAGTTGGTGTAATTTCAAAATAACATTTAGCAATTGAAAATCGAAATGGCAGAGATGTTCATGCCTAAGCGTTTGTCTGTGCTCATCAGTTTGTTAACTTTAGTTACGCAATGTACTATGCACATCCACAATTTTGGCTCATTTTGTCCAGCAGATCAGGAGATTGGTGAAACGCAATTCGGACTAACCACTGAATCTAATGAACACAGTTCTGAAGGTAAATCTATTTTATATATACTTATTGAACGTTTCAAACAAGCTAAACAATACAATTGTTTGTGTGTTTGGTTCAGACAACTACATTTTCAATATATTATGTGTGGAGCGATAGAAGAACAGGATAATTCTGTACAATTATGATCCTATTTTAATCCAATCAAATTTGCATTGTTTAATAGAAATATCATATATTTGGTTTCCAGGTTCCCAACCAGCAATAGGTATTGTTGCAGCAGTCGAATACGAATATCAATCAATATTGCTTATGTTTGATGCTCCACCTGTGGAATATAATGGTAAAACAAATCCAAATGATCCAAACTACTACCAGGTTGGACTAGTCGGAGGAAAGAAGGTTGTAATGACACGACTTCCTGCTGGGATGGTTGGAGAGAACAGTGCTGCAGTAACTGTCGCACGTCTCTGTCATGCATTCAGCACCTTAGAGTTGATATTCATGGTAGGTGTTGCTGGTGGAGTACCTAATTATCAGTATAACGAAGCCAGTGCAATGAAATCCACAGAGTATACTCGTCCACATGTTCGCAAGGGTGATGTTATTGTCTCGTATCCAATTGAAGACAGAGGTCCTGCCTTTGTGCATTATGACTACGGGGAAATAATGTGTGTTCTTGCCACACGTAACTCTGGGCAAAAAATCCAACGTAAGCAGCACATTAAGCTTAACCCCAAAGCACTGAATGCAGCTCGAGAAGTTAAGCGCAATTCTAAGGTTTTGGGTGAGCTAATTGGTGCCACAATCAACAAAGTGCAGAAAGTAGGGTTTCAGAGACCTGCTGATGAGGAGGATGTCTTGCCAGAAGGTCATAACCATCCAGCTGAACCGCTGTC